GGGAAAGAGTACTAACCTTTTTTTTCCTCTCATCTCATGGACTTTCCCTTCTAAATATCTCTCAATAGCTCTGAGAAGTACCTGTTGACCAAGAGAGAGAAAAAAAACCTCAGTGCAAAGCAATTTGCTTGCATTGTGTGTGCATTGCCTTTAACAGCTTAGTAATATTCTTCATCTTCCACACAGTGTAATTTCCTTCTGTAATCAAACCTCCAATCCCTTGCAGCAGACTGTGAAATTACTGCTGGATTACTGGATTAACCACCACAGACCCCCTCTCCCTGGAGCATGGTTGCCTCTAGCCTGCAGACAACCTGGAAATCTAGGTGAGGTTCAGGGGAAATTCCCCCCCTCTTGTTGGGAGTCTGGTTCTCCAGCACAGTGAGTGTTTTGTGATGGGGAATCCACAGAAGCTGCCTTCCAGTTACTGCAGATTGCCAGGGAGAATGTCAAACAAATTAGCTGGTAATTCATAGCAGGGTCTCAATTAAAAATCTTGCAAGGACAATGGCCAGAAAAACTTTCTACTAACAAATTGTTAGGTTTGGTTTTTTGTTTTGTTTTGTTATTTTTTCCCCTCCCCTTTTATGTCTTACCAGATTACTGTGTTTTCCAGAGCAGAGGGGAAAAGGAAGCTGGAGTCTCTGCTTCAGGATTCCAGGAAGCTTGAAGCTGTGGAAGAAAGTGCAAGACTGAATGGAGTCTGGGACTTTGGAGGGGCCTGTGAAAAACTGGCATGAGCCCTCAGCCATGTGGACCAGGCACAGGACTCCCAGCAGCCTTGTAAAGAAGTAAAACAGATGAGCATGCTGATACCTGGACATTAAAGGAATACTGATTTTAAAAAGTCATAATATGCCATATCAGACATAACGACCTTCATTCCTTTTCCCCTTTCATTTAAATAAAAATTCCATATACAGATTAGCCTAACTTGTTAATAACACAATCCCCCAGTGCTGGCTCTGTGCTACCACCCAGAAGCTCAAGTTAAAGCCTTATTCACCTACTTGATCATTTTCTTAATTTTTATCAAAATAAACATGTCTCTGCTGCGATTTCACCAGGTTTTCACATGCACAAATACACCCACTTGGTTATGGAGACCTGAGCAGAAAAAATAACAGAAAATTTGAAAAAAAAAAACCAAACTAAGAAGTGAATTCTGCCTTACAACACTGAAGCACCAAAGCCTGGCAAACAGCAGAGGTCACCAAGATCGTGTGCAGACTGGCACGTGGTCTCCAAGGCTACCTACCAAGTCTCAGAGACTGTTTCCAAAATGTTTTCCCTCTCCCTTACTCTTCAAGAGGAAAAGTTCCTCTCACGTTAGACACGCCTCCCTCTCCAGACTGGGCTGTTGTGGGTGTTTCACCTCTAAGGCTTTAGGGAAGAGACATCAAAGTGAGGGAAGGCTCAGAACTCATTACATGTGTGTACACTGCTGGGGGAGATTGAAGGAGTAAGAACAGCAATAGAGTCGTGGTGCTTGATTAAAGAACTCAAAAACTGTTCTTACACTGCCAGAGTAAGAGGCTAACAACCTTTCACCCACACAACACCAGTTAGAACAAGTTTGCTTACACTATCAGAGGTATATTTTATCCTACAGAACTAAGCTTTGAATAGATACTCTCTCTCCTGTTTGGATCAAGTAATTTATTGCCCATTTACAAACCTTCTTTGTGAATTAACACCACCTATGTATTTGCCATCCTAGCTCCGACTACAGCATGATTCTCCATAGAAGATTTGGCTCCTCAAACATCACAAGCAATTCCAGCTACACTTTGACTGTAGGTATCTAAGAAAAGAAACTCCCAACTGCAGTAAAAAGCAGCAGAGCTGGATCCTATAGGTAGCTGTGTTTCACCGTGTAGGTGAGACAGCACATCACATCTGCTCCAGCAGTTAATCAGCCAACACAGACTTTAAAGATCATCCTTTGTAGTAAATACTTTCTATTACTTCTAAAAGGTTTTATTTCCATCAGCAAAACCTCCTCCATTTCAAGCTAGTTTCTCCAATTTTAAGTGTACTTCTTGACCCAGTTTTTGCCACGCCTCACCAGGTAGAAGGTATTTTCACATAAATATAAGGGCTAGTTTCCCAGCCATTAGAACAAGAGCTTTAATTAATCCTGAACATTGCCTTAACTCACTGCCAAAACCCACAATAAACCCCATGCCTCACACAAAAAGCTCAAAAGCACAGTAAAAGAATCATAGAATCCTTTAGGTTGGAAGGGACCTCCAAGATCATCAAGTCCAACCACTGAGCCACCAGGGCTCCAAAGTCCTCTGCTAAAACAGATCAGAATCTGTCAGGGCTGGAAGGGACCACAAGGGTCACCCAGTTCCAACCCCTCTGCCATGAGCAGGGACACCTCCCACTAGATCAGGCTGCCCAGCGCCTCCTCCAGCCTGGCCTTAAAGACCCCCAGGGATGGGGCCTCAACCCCCTCCCTGGGCAACCCATCCCAGGGTCTCACCACTCTCATGGGGAAGAACGTCTTCCTCACATCCAGCCTGAATCTGCCCACTGCCAGCTTTGCCCCATTCCCTCTAGTTCTGTTGTTACTTGAGATCCTAAAAAGTCCCTCCCCAGCTTTCTTGTAGCCCCCCTAAGATCCTGGAAGGCCACAATAAGGTCACCTCGGAGCCTTTGCTTCTCCAGCCTGAACAGCCCCAACTCTCTCCCAGTAAGAAACGTCCGCTCTAGGAACACAAAAAAATGCAGATGTTACAAACAGTCAATTTATTGGGTCTTAAACTACGTACACAATGGAAATAATCATTTTGGCACTACGCTATAGAGTGGTTACACCAGTGTGCTGACACTCACTGAACACTGCACCGGCAACGCTGCTGTGCTTGGAAGTTTGGAATGAGTCAGGTCCATCACTCGAAACGTCCCAGTGCTCCTGCAGGGCTGCACACAACTCGGGACACACGCCAGCTCATGGAGTACTGCAGTGTACCTCACACACTAGCAACTTATCACACCAGAATATGCCATGTCAGGATTTAGAGAGGGCCACAAGTGTTGCATTAAAACCCGAATGAGACGTCGGAATAATGAAATACAAGAAGATCAAACCAAAACCTCTGCCTCTCGGACGTGAAGAGATATTCTGATAAAGAAAATAATTTAGAAAACTAATAATGGCATTTGATTCGATACAAAAGCCAGAACTACTACTGTATTAACATCTAAGTATGAATCTTTACAAATTAATCTCACAATGGTGTTATGTAAAAGGTTGCAAACTGTACAATGTTTCATCAATGCAATGCCTCTACAATTTATACAGTCTTTTACAACTATGTAACACATATTAAACATGTTGTTAAATAGCCAATAGATACCAGTCTCTGAACAAAGCTGCAGGCAAAAAGAATACAGAGCTTCCACAATCTTTGAACAAGATATGCTTGCTCAAACAGTGACAATCTTGATGAGCATATGCTGTTAAAAAGAGTCAGCCATTCAGTGCCTTCTCACACTGGGCATACATTTCATTCTGTGAATTCAACCATTGCTTGATAGTCCAGGATTTCCTATCTGTGGGCTCTAATTATGTGGAAACACCCCGAGTCTTTCACCCCTAGAAACGTGTACATAATCAGAGATTTTGATTCCACACGTGGTGAAGCTACCTATGAAGACCTGGCCGGGCAGTAAGAGCTTTCACTCCCCACTTTTTGTCCTGCCATCACCTAGATACTGCACAGAGAAGATCAGCTATTTACATTTGGACAAGGAAGATACAAAAAGGCAATCCTGCCCTGAGGTGGACTGAATGATACAGAGCCCATCGCCTGATGGGCGCCCAGATCCAAGTAGTGAAAAATAAACTCTGAGAAAGAGAGGTTCCTGGTATTGGATGCTGACTAGGAAAGAAGTTGGAGAGCTTCACTGAGAATATTGTGGTCTGCAGCACTCGCCGGTTCTGCACATCTGTGATGTTGGAAACAGCTGGGAGGAAGGGTCAGAACGAGAGGAGAGAAATGTGCAGTGGAAGTCACTGGGTGTGAGACAGCAGAAACAAGACTGATGTGTAATGCAGGCCAATGAGAAGGGTCTTGCAACAAACTCACGATCAGGCTCTGCAAGTGCAGTTACAAGGAGACTGTGGGGCTGCTCCCTGGGGAGGTGAAATTCTTTATGAACAGAACCAGGTCTTTGTTTGTATTTAAAAGTGGTTTTGATCAGGCATCAGTATTTCCAACACAAAATCTTCTACATGATAAATTTCTTTTGAGTTTCCTTTATTTTGTAGAAAGGTTCCTATATACTCTCTTTTTTCCAGGAGTAACCTGAAAAGAAAGAATAAAGAATTCAAAACAAGATTATTACCTCATGCTATTACCACAGAACAAAACAAAAATGTAAATTAAAACTTCTCTTGGGATACTGTCACAAAACAGGACAAGGTAACAGAGATCAGAATGTTGTAGTGTAACAAAGAGAAACTCCAGGAATGGATTCACTCTTTGGGGACGTGCCTGGTAGCAAAGCCATAATGTGGAAGAGGAAACAGTAGCAGTTTGGTAGCAGTTGTTCCTCACTGTGAGGTGGAGATGACAGACTGGACTGCGTGGTGGCAGCCTAAGTCCTCAGAGGCACCAGAAGCACAAAGCAGCAAGTACCTTGCCTTCACTGAAACTGCCAGGCATTTAAAAGGCAGCCAGCTGGCAGAAAATGGAGAAAAGGAACATCAATATTCAAGAAAACAAGTGTGTTTTAGCAAAACACTAGTGTAACACAGGGACAAGAAGATGGACAAAATTTAACCCAAATAAATCTGATCCTCAACAGGCTGCTTGAGGTGTGAGGGACTTCTCTTTGGCTGTAGCATTTCCCCTGGGGGGAAGGATTCCTCCCTAACCTCCATGCTAGTCTGGAGAGCTCCACTAGATTTTCTGAGACTGCTGTTTCTGCCAGTTCATGTCAGAACCAATGATCTTACCTCTCTATGCATAATAGCACGGAGAGACCAGGAGGTCAGTGAGCACTAGTAGCTGGTCATCTGTGAACTGCTGCTTGTGCTCCTGCCAGTTGTCGTGGTGGGTCCTCCGGAAATTGGACAGCGTCTTCTTCACAGTCATCTGCACAGCAGACAGTCAGTATTGATCTGCATCAGTTATTGATCTGCTCCATGGCAAGACAAAAGCTGACTACAGTAAAAACAGCTGCTGAGCAGTTGCAAAGGTTAGACAGGCTCTGGGGGATGCCCCACTATTGCCATTCTTACAGCTCTGGTTAGTCTTTTGACGAGTGCCACGACCACAACATTCTTATAAAAAGAATTCTTTGACCTACAATTCTGAGTTTGGAAAAAAATAATAAATTCTTATAAAGCATAAGTGAAATGCCTTCTTCCCCCTCTTCTTTTTTCTTGGGTGTTTCAAACCAATGGTTTGGGTCTCAAAATGTGAGAAAGAATTGCACAAGGTGCAGAGAAGAAACAAATCAGAGGAGAATTATGTTCTGTTATTAAAATAATGAAACGAAAAAAGAAGTCCCATCAGTAGTACAGTTTCTTGATTCAGTGAAGCAAGGTGCAGAGAAGAAACAAATCAGAGAATTATGTTCTTAAAATAATGAAATGAAAAAAGATCAGTAGTACACTTTCTTGATTTAGTGAAGCAAAACTTAGTAAGTCTAAGGAATTCTTCAGCCATAAGCTCATTACTCATGTTAAAAAAGGTCAACAAAACCAAATAGGGCAAAACCCCCAGAGTTACAGATAACTATTTCATTAAAACCTCCTTCTAGGGCTGCTTATAAAACCTTGCTTTAAAATTTCTGTGATTTTTTTGGTTCAGGCTGATTTTCTAGAATGGCATGCACAAAAGTTACATTTTTAATTAACAAGACAGATAGAGCTCTTGCAGCTTTCAGTTTATGCTTTAAATTGGAAAGCAAGAATGGAACTACCACAAAAAATAAAGCAGCCCATGACTGAAACGAAGTTTCTTAACAGAAACCTCTATGAAAAGGGAACTAAGAATGAGTCAAGCATATCAGAGATGCACTATGCAGAACAGAAAAGTGACGTAGGCATTTTTACCTCAATAGGCTGAGGATCATTGAGGTGGGCACTGAGATCCATCAGGAGCTGTGGCATCCAGGTGGGTACGTCGTAGGGGCTCGACAAGATACAGGCGCTGAGTCCCAGCACGCCGGCGTGGCGCTTGACCAGGTCTGCAAGGCAGCAGCAGCACTGCCACTTAGCAACTGCCTTCTAGCTAAGACTTACACTCTTCTACCTCTCCAAGGCATTCCTCAATGACAGCCACATTTACAACTGGCTATCAGGGAAAATTAGGAGATTTTTAACTGATGGGAATGATTGAATTAAGACAGTATATATATTTTAAAGAGAGGTGATCTAATTAAAACAACATACTGATACCAATATTGAGTTTTGACCCTGAATTTGAAGAAAATAAAACAAAACCAAACAAAACCCCACAAAAAACCCTGCCACATTAAAGAGCTCTACTTTCTACAAAAAAAAAAAAGCTAGCTCTACAGATCATAGAGTCAAATGACTTCACACAAGTGTATGGATCTCCAAATGGATTCTGTTTTCACACAGAGTCACAGATATACCCCCTGATTCTTTTCCTCCTAATGGAAGAATTTGAAAACATTTATCTGCAACTACTGTATACTCCATAAACATTTTACTAAATGGTAACAGACTTGCAAATGAGCTTCCTTCTCTCAGTGATCTCTCACAAACTACATCTCCATCGTTCCCTATTCCTGCACTCAGAATGTTTTCTCAAGCACCAGAACTATCTGACAATATGCAAACCAGTCCTGGGTCACATGAATGTGACTCAGATGCATGAAACCTTTGGTCAGAAGCCAAAACCCCTAACTAAGGTTAGCTAAGGAGGTTATCCTTCTGGTGGTTTTGGCTGTGGGTTGGGTTTGTTCTTTGGGTTTTGGTTTGTGGTTTGTTTTTTTGTGGGGGTTTGTTTGTTTTTTTTTTGTTTGTTTGGTTTTTTTTTTAAGTGTGGGTTGGGGTTTGTTTGCTTGGGGATTTTTTTAGAACAAACCCACCTACTGCTTACAAAGAGAAGGTAAGGTGGTTAAGGAGTGAATTATTTATTGTGGCAGCTAAGAAAGTTTATTTACTGGGGAAATAGTTATCCCTTATCATCTGTGTTCTTAACTGTATGAAGTGTGTACATGGGAAACTGAGAAATCTCTTCAGCATTAATTCTGGAAAAGTAATCAATTAGTCTTACAAAAACATCATCAAGATATGGTTTGATTTTTTGGTAGAAGTGTATTCTTATTCCTCATTTATGTTGTAAATCAAATTCTCAAAGCACTTAAGGATTTGGATCTGCACTACATACACAGAAACAGACAGCAAGGTACATAGAGACAAATGATTCACTATTCTGATTTATGAACACTTAGGAAGGAAAAATATCTTCACAGGCAACAGGCCTTAAATTTCTCTGGGTATATGTTAATTTTCTAACTACTGCTTCACCAGAGGACAAATCCTGTTCCTTGTGCAATGCCTGCAGAAGCAGCACTCAGGTGCAGCAGGAGGTGTTTCCTCCTCCCACCAGCTGGTAGCCTCTGGCAGGGTGGCTGAGGCTGGGAAGCTCTCTTACCCCCAGAAGGGATGGTGTCCCCCACGGAGCCCAGGTCGCGCTTCCGCTTCTTGGGCAGCCTCATCTTGCAGAGCTGCTCGAAGTGGGTCTGCATGGGCTCGTCCATGGTGAGGAAGTTGCACTGCAGCAGCCCGCTGAGCGTGGTGGCAGCCATCTCTCTCACCTAGGGGCACAGACAGGGCACACCAGTTACCAGCCACAGCCACCCAGGCTGCTGCTGTCCTCTGAAGCGTATCCAGCTAGGCCAGGTGCCCAAACGCTGCCCAAGAGAAGGCTTGAAAATATTCCCCTCTTAGCTCATAGATCATCAACTACTGCTGCTTACTAAATGGCTCTTGATAAATTAATGAACAGTTGTATAGTAACACAGAACTACCTTCACAGAATTTGTCATCAAGTGACCCA